AAAACATTTTCTTTATCGTGCCNAGTGTGGCGGAAGAGGAGCTTCAGTGGTTCCCTCACATTCTCAAGGAGGGGGCAGTTGAATAATCTGTGTTGGACACTCATCAACTCCGCAGTCGGGACACAGTGGACTGTTAGCTCTACGGAATCGGTGCAAGTAAGCGTTGAAATTTCCGTGACCTGTCATTATTTGTGTGATCCAGAAATCTGGTTGAAACCACTTTGCTCTTGCTCGGTCCTCAATACTGGGTAGAAACTCGTGGGTTAACCTTCCCTATGCTTTTAATCGTAACATTGTGCGCAAGACTTTATCGAGGAGGGGACGGTGTATAGTCACCATCGACGCCTCCTAGAGGAGCTTTGAAGTTCGCTGGAGATTCTTTGATCTCAGAGTCAGGGGAGGCACCCTTCAAACCAGCCCAAGACCGCAAGACCGACCAGCACCCGAGGCTCCGGACGGGCGTCGCCACAACCGAGCCCATGGAATACTAGCAAAGGAAAACAGGGTTGGAGGGATAGGAAATTAAATTTTATCAATTAATTGGATGTCTGTTAAGAATTTTAAAAATTGGTTTATTGATGTCAGTTGGTATTTAGTGTAGATTGGAGGTCTTTGGGGATTTGGTGGAGGGTTCATGCAGAGGTGTATAAAGGAAAATCAATTATGATGTGGGATATAGTGATAGATGTACAGATTGGACATATAGGTTTAGAAGTTCTTTCAAGGAGGAAACTATGGGTGAGCCGGAAGTGTTCAATTCGAAGCCGGGTTAGGAGGGTTTCTTCTGTTCGGAAAGGTCTGGAAGAGGAGTCCCATTTTTTTACATCTTCCTTTATTCATGGAGCTTGTTTCCTGGACAGGCATCCCCTTCACGCCTCCAAGCCTCCCAGTCGAGCTGCGAATTAGAGTTTGTCATAGCAAACGCGCCCAGCGGCAAAGCCCTCGGCTTAGGTAGGATAACATGAATTTTTCTCACCGACACACTCACCGGATAATTTTAAATTTTGTTCCTTTAAATGTAAAATATGTGGATCATGATAAAATATGGATGGTATGGTAAATATGGTATTATATGGATGATAAAATATAATGTTAGGATAATACTAGAGCCATTACAACATTGGGTAGAGTCACTAGTTTTAGTGGTCCACTTGATCAATTAATATATTTCGATTAACTAAGGTTTTTAGTTGAGATAAAAATTCAGTGTCACGAGCGGGATTCGATCCACGATCTTCGGCTAGATACGCCGCTGCTCTACCACTTGAGCTATCGTGACCTCGCTCCACTTGGGCACCAACTTCCTATCTCAAGCCCACCTTTTGAATTTTACCCTCCTTTTTGCCATTTTTGCCATTGGATAGAGTGTAACGATGTACTAAATCAACATCAAGCTGGGTTTAGAAATGGGTATAGCACAATACCAATAAATCCATTACAATTCATGGTCCGATTGACCAATTAATTGAAAAAAGTTAATTGGTCAATCGGACCAAGAACTGTAATGGATTTAATAAACTGAAGTATATCTTCACGAAAGCTCTCCTGGGCCATTTCATTTGTCGCCGAGAATCAAATAGTTTACACGACATTTGAAAAATGGCAAAAAGGAGGGAAAATTGGAAAGGTAGGTTGAGATGGGAAGTTGGTGTCCGAGTGGATCGAGGTCACGATAGCTCAAGTGTTAGAGCAGCGGCCGTTTTAGCCGAGGGTCGTGGGTTCGAATCCCGCTCGTGCCACTGACTTTTTTATCTCAATCAATACCTTACATAAAGATTAATTAATTGAAAAAAGTTATTCGGTCAATCGGACCACGAACTCTAATGAGTTTGACTTTTAGTTGATTTCATCCTTATTTTTCTTACTTATTGTATAATGACATAACATCTAAACGTTGCTGACATAGGATGAAAAAAACCATCCAGCTTTCCAACTGTTGTCGGTTGGATTTGGATAAAATAAAGAAGGGTTATGAATTTTTAATTGGAACAGCGGACAAAGGTGAGAAAAATAATTGCCCCCGGGTCATCCAGCTCAAAAATTTTCAATTTCAAACAATTTTAATCATTTACAGGTTTTTAGAAAAATTCCTATTGAAAAGAATTCTTCCGATTCTAAATTCTCAAAACATAATCCCAGACCATCAATTTGGTTTTCGCAACCGTCACTCAACTGTCCAACAGTGACACCGCGTGGAGACGTTATCTCCTCCTCCTTTAAGATGTGACAGACGGACAGTACTGTTCTGGGGCCTTTCTTGGCGTAAACCAAAGTTTTGATCGAGTTTGGCACCCGGGCCTTCTGTTCATGCTCAAGGGCATTCTTCCATCCACCTACTTACTATCTCATACTGCACAGTTACTTCACTGACCGATTCTTCCAAGTCATCGAAATCCATTCCCTATCCGCATATTTCCCTATCCATGCCGGTGTTCGTTCCTCAGGGTAGCGTTCTGGCTCCTACACTAAACCAAGTGTTTACAGCTGACATGCCATCACATCCCGAAACCACCGCATTCACATTTGCAGACGAAAGAGTGATTCTTTCTAGCCACTCCGACCTTGTCATTTCCACTCGAACCCTCCAACAATACCTCATACTATTAGAATCTTGGTGTAAAAAGAAAAGGATAAAATTTAACACTGACAAATCCACTCGCATTGTGGAGGTAATCTCCGTAAAAAGATCTCCCCCCCCCTGTTTTCTTAAATAATATTCCCCTCCCAACTGCGGACAAGGTGCGGTACCTCGGACTGTACATCGACAAACTCCTGACATGACATCCTCACACACGACCGAAACGTCAGGAGGTTATGACATGATATACTACTTGCCCGATTTCTGGACAAACGTTCTAATTTACCTCTCAAAAATAAAAGGCTGCTTTACAACACCATAGTTAAGCCGGTGTGGACTTATGGACTGGAAGTGTGGGATTCGGCCAAACATTCTGACATTCACCGTATTCAAGCTGCCCAGCTCTTAATACTACGCAAAATACTAGATGCTCCATTTTATGTATCGAACTTAACTACACATACAGATTTACATATCCCTTTCGTTCCCGTTTCGTTAATTTCATAAAAACTTCCCAACTACCGTAAATCAGCACATCAGAAACCTCGCTTCCCTACGAATCCCTCAAACCCTCCCCGCCGATTGAAGAGACAACGGCCGCGAGATTTCCTAGGAAGTGATTGATGGTGATGATAGTGAAAGTGATAATGACACAAGACAATTTTTTTTTTTTTTTTGGATACCAGGGACTGGAGGAGTTCCCTCCTGAGCACTGCAGCTGAGCTGTACAGCTTACTGTACTTTATCCCTGGCTCCATATTTTGGGGGAGGGCTCGCAACACAAATGTGAAGTTGAGCCCCCGTTGTACCGGTGTTCTTCCATCGAAGAAACTCATTTTTTGAAGGGGGTTTGGACCAAATTCAGGGTCGCTGAGATCCGATCCCGCCCCTTCCATTGATGAGTGCCGTGTCAATTTCTTTCAATTGCGGCCACCGGTCCCCTTAGGCGTCAGAAAAAGTCCAGAGGCGACGGTGGGGATCGAACCCACAACCGCGGGATCTACTAGCCGAGTCTGACGCCTTAACCACTCGGCTACCGCGGCCCCCCTTGCTCACTGTTACTTGTTACCTGCCTGCTTGAAGGTAGTTGTAATGTACTTCAAATTAAATTAAAAAAAAAGGCATTTACAAATTCAAATTTTCCTATTTTTTTATTGCGATGAAAATAAGTATTTAATACAAGTTTCGCGCAATGGAAACCCAGCTTAAGGGCTTTAAAGTATACTTAATACATATGATTATTCAGAAATCTCAATAAAGATCGAAATGTTGGCGCGATAAAGAAAATGTTTTTCTAAAACTTACGTCACACCAGACCGCATCCCACTATCTCCGAATAATCATTGACTAACGGCCACTAAACACCTCACATAATTAAAATAGATAACATATATAAAAAGTTACAAAAACGAAAAGACACTTCAAGTAAAATAGAATAATTATTTTAAATATGTACATAAGCTACATAATTTTTTTCGGCTCCTAGAATGATTGTAAATTGGCAAGGACGCTAGTACGTGTGGCTAATATTTTTCGACCTAGTATCACCGAAACAGTTTAATTAAAATCTTCCGTATAGGTAAAGAAAGCTTCAAAAACCAACAGCTAAAGGTTCTTTTTATATTTGAAAACTGATAAGGGGCAGTGGCTCTTCTTGGTATTGGTATTTAATGCGGAGTGCAAAATCTTTGTAAAAGGACCAGGCCGTCCTTGCCTGTCGACTTATGAAAGACTTCCATTCAACAGGTATAGTATGACCATTTGAGTGCAAGTTAAACCAAATGTCCATTGTGTTTCTGCAAGGTCTTCCAGGTAAAATACTCCGAAATCCCGTTCGGTGTGTGTAAACCGACAACGGTTTTGGGCCTGGCCCGTAGACAAAGATCGGCCAAAATCCTACAAGCTAGAGGTTTTCCCTTGCCAATTTCCCTCCTGGAGGATTTCAGGTTTTCCTATGATGGGGCACATCTTTTTTTTTCTTAAAACGTCGGGATTCTTTCAGAGTTTAGACCCTCCTTCGTAAGTTCTGAAACACATATGAACCTCGTTGTCACGAGTCTGTATTGGAATTAATACCATTGGCATCGTAAAAGCTAATTCAATAATTAACGTTAAACTTATTTATTTAGAAATCGTGAGATGCGGTCTGGTGTGATGTAGGTTTCAGAAAAACATTTTCTTTATCGAGCCAACGTTTCTGGACACGAAGCTAAAAGGATACTGAAGGACTTCGCCAACAATGAGAAGAAACTCGCATCGGCCATCAATCAGAGAACTTTTTTGCTGAAATGCAGACAACACAAGGCCCTGAAGATGATCTCAATAAAGATTGAAACGTTAGCACGATAAAGAAAATGTTTTTCTGAAACCTACTTCACACCAGACCGCATCTCACGATTTCTAAATAAATATCGATTAACGGTCACTAATCACCACACGTTAAACTTATTAATTCGTTACCCTGGACTGCCAAACGTTTTTCGATATCTTAAGTGTTGGGTTTGTGTACAGCAAAAGAACTGTTCAAACACAATATGCACAGACCAACATTAATGTGCTATCTTTTGATAGTTTCTGATCATTTTGGTCTTATTTGCTTTTTTTGGTCTGTCTAAATTTTTATTATTTATTAATTCGTTAAATTGGCCTTCCAAACGTTTTTCGATTACCTTCAGTGGTGGGTTTACAACAACGAAAGGACTACACTGATACAATAACGCACAGACCAAAATTAACTTTCTGTCGTTTGGTCGTTTCTGATCATTTTGATCATTTCGCATGTTTGATCTGTCTAAATATTTATTGCTTTTCAATTCGTTACCTTGGTTGTCCAGACGCTTTTCGACATCTTCAATGGTGGGTTTGTGTTAAAAAAAAGGACTATACTGACAATACGCCCAGACCAAAATTAACGTTCAATCGTTTGGTCGTTTCTGTTCTGTATAAATTTTGATTGCATCCCAGTTGGTTAGTTTGGTCTGCTTGGCGCTTTTGGACATCTTCAGTGATGGGTTTACAACAGCAAAAGAACTATACTGACACAATAATGCACACACCAATATTAACGTTTTATTGTCTGGTCGTTTCTGATCATTTTGACTATATTCGCTTATTTGTTCTTTCTCAATTTTGATTGCTTTGATTCGTTACCTCGGCCTGCCAAACGTTTTTCGGTATCTTCAGTGTTGGATTTGAGTCAATCTGACTTAACATATCAGTCCTGTTTAATGATTTTTCATGATCAAAGTAATAAGGAATGTTATTTATTTGTAATACATAACAGTACACAATTTTTCACAAAATATTATGATGTGTCGAAGGTGTTGGAGGAGATCCATCAAAGGGTTTTAGTTTCAATAAATCCACAATTCGACGTGAATGTTGTCGAGTTCAACTTCAAAACGTTTGAATTTCGACCTTCGACAGCGAATAGGACGGTGGTCGTCTTGTGCGACATCCCTGGAAACTTGGTCGAGACGGAGACCGAAGATGTAAGGCGACTATCTATTGAAGAGGAAGACGATGCAGGTGATAATAATGATAATAACGGTTTACCTATCCCGATTTGGGACAAAATAGGTCCACTTTTACAAATAAACGGTGCTTGCTTCTTATCTTATTCTACCTGTTCAAATTATTAAAGGCGATGCTAAACCTTTTTTATACCTGGATGATCGGATCTTGAGTCAAGTCATTTTAGATCCGGACCACATAACGGATTACTTATATGTGAAACTTCTTGTAGGCCTTATTATTTGATGGTCGGGTGTACCACCTATGCGGATGACACTGCAATTTGTCCTTCTAAATGAATCTTTTCCAGGAAACATCCAACGTCCAACAATAATGGTGCAAAAGGTGGAGGACATGACTGAATGACAGTGTACATTTACATTGAAAAAAGTCTTGTACTATAATAACATGGATCTACCGAATTACAATCAAGTCAGATGGTTTACACTATACCTTTGTTTTGACGGTAAAAACTCAACTAACCCTATAGTAGACATTATTGCAACCGCTTTGAACATATAGTGGAACTATGAGGTTCTGAGAAGCCTTAACCGCAAATCCAATCTTTCCAATCGAGTCCTCAGACAAATTGTCAAGGCGCCTTCTTACCTTATTAACCTTACTATCCATAACAACCTTAACATTCCTTTTATCAAAAAACTGATCGAATACTGCTTCCAAAAGTTTCACACCAAGATTTCCATCCATCCCAACCCTACCGCCCAAGCTTTATCTACACCGCCCCTTCCTGAGAACCAGCCACGTCTCCTTAAAAGTCGATGAGCTCGATGCCTTCTTATCTTAATCTTAATCATTAATCCATCATACTGAATAGCAGTTGGCTGGTTTCAATATATCCTAGGGTGGTGGCCACAATGTCAATGTTGTGACAGGGAAAAACACCCATATTTGTAAATTTGTGCTAATTTATTTTATGGTGCCAGTTCAGCAGAATATACAAGCGACAAGGACTCGACCCCTAGGAATACGTTTTAGCGAAGCCTTAGGGAGGGCAGGGATGACATTGGGGCACGGACTCGAGCTGGGAAACCGGCCGACTCTGCTCTGAGTCCTTTCAGCCGTACTCATCCGGGACGATCTCGCCGTATTTGCCAAGTCGTCTATTCCGCCATAACTTTACCAAGTTAAGTTCTTGGAACGTAGATCGAAGTAACCACAGCCTCTCTATATGAACCAATCAAAAACAGGGGCGTCTCCGAAAAGGGGCCAATGGGTGGAGGAAGGCCTAAGGAACAGGATAATCACATCCACCTTGTTCGGTGCACTGATTCTGGGCTAGGACAGCCAGGTGATGTCTTTCACCTCTACTGTGGACGACGCTGGTATACAAACTCCTACAAACCTGGAACAAGAAGAATTCTACTGTCTAGGCTATGTGGACAGCCTTGCCGTAGTGGTAAAGACACTGCAGACATCTTGATAGATCGTGTACAACGAGCCCTCAACCTGCTTGACAAGTGGTGCAAAATGGAGGAGCTATCTAATAACCCCACAAAAGCATAATGATTCCACTCACAAGGAAGAGGACAATAGGAAGCATAAAAACTCCAAATCTAAACGGGACCCGATCCCATTTTCCAATGAGGCCAATTATCTAGGGGTCACACTAACCAGATTCTCACACGGAATCAATCTAAAACCCTTAGAGAGCTAAAATTGCCTGGCGGAAGTGCAGAAGGCTTTGCGCAAAAAAGTGGGGATTAAGTTTCAAAATAACCAGAGAATATCTCACATACCAAGAGAACTGTCAATATTTGGTCAAGGATATGACTTGTAGAGGGATCACCTTCACCTGATTAAGAATAGGCGATGTGAGGTTGACACAGGGACACTTATTTTTGGGCCAAAGCCCGTGTATGTGTCTGGCATGCAGAGAAAGGTTGCTCAATGTGTCCCACTTAATTGAAGGGTGCCGTTCCTTGGATACATATAGAGAGCATGTAGGAATGCCACCCTACATGAGAACTGTTCTTGAAGGCAGCGAGCACTTGGGTCCCCAGTTCCGATTCTTGACAAAAACAGGGTTGTTTTATTGTGTACTATTGTAGTACTAATATTTTTGTCATCTCTAGTGTGTTGACAATGAATGTACTTATTAGCGCAATGTGTTGTATGAGAGGGTCAATGGTGGAATATTGAGACCCCATCAACCCTCAATTCGATTAGTTATATAATAGGTTAATTATTAATTTAAGTAAAGGGTCAGTTCAAAGATGAACTGGACTCGACATATTAATGAGCTGCTGGTAAACGGGGAAAAACTATTTAACGTTCTTAGGAGTTTTACAAGCTCTCGGTGGGGAGCAGACCCAGCTACAGGCCTATTATTTTACAAATCGGCCATCAAATCGGTGTTAGATTACGGAGCAATATTTTACGGCCAGTCGGCAGACTCCCTCTTAAAAAAGGTACAAGTATTTATAAATAAATGTCTCTGTCGAATATTAGGGTGCCTATAAAGCACTCCCATAATAGCCATCTGTGCAGAGGCAGCTGAGCCACCGTTTAATTCCAGGATTAAAAAGCTAGCTATCAACAAAATCATCAACTTGTACCAAAATGGTAGCCCCATTGTTTCAAAATAGCTGGCTTAGCATCGCAGGATCTAACAAGCAAGTTCTGGAGGTATAAAAGGTCACCACCAATTGTCAATGCTTTTGTTAAGTCTGTTCCTCTCATCTATTCAGCGTTTCAGAGTACTCTAGACCCAATCTACAGCTTTGGTGCCCCTTCCGCAATCATAACACCTCGGTGTATATACCTGCAGGACTATTCGGGGTTTCCTCCATGGATTTCAAACCAAATGTTACAGGCAGATGCCAGGGAACTCCTTGCTGACCTTTATATGATTTTCACGGATGGTTCTCTGGTCAAAGGTAAGGCTGGGTTTGCTCTTTACGACTCAGTACGGAGGAAGAATAAAACATTTTCTCTCCCTGCAAATAGCTCCATCTTCTCTGCCGAATCCAAGGCTATTCTAGAGGCATTAGAGTATGTCCAAAAAATAGATTTTAAGAAAATTGCTATCGTGACTGATTCAAAAAGTATTGTCTCGCACATAGAGAAAACAAATACCAATTCAAAACTGGACCATGTAACAGTAAATATTTTGCTAGTGTATAGGGAACTGGTCAACAGCGGAAAAAATATAACTCTATGCTGGATTAGAGGGCATTCAGGAATCCGTGAGAATGAGCTGGTAGATGTGAAGGCGAAACAGGCTATCGATACAGGGGAATTCTGTGAATATAAATATACAAAAAGCGATTATAGGCTAAGTGGCAGGAATTTCATAATGGCTCCACAGGCGGATCACTGTATCAGTCCAGGTTCCCCATGGTACTCAAGGCTCCGTGGTTTCAAGGAGGCAGGGCAACTCGCAACTTCTATACCGTAATTACACGGATCAGAAGCAACCTTGGCTTATGGGGGTGCTCATAAATATAAGATTGGCCTGAGGGAATCTGCCAATTGTGCTTCCTGTGACTGTACAGAGTACATGAACCATATAATTATGGAATGCCCATAATACGAGGAAATGAGACAGAATCTCATCAGTGGCATCGAATCCTTGGTTGGAGTGGCCAGACCTTTTTTTGGAAACTTTAATTACATCTGGGAGAAGAGACATACACCATCTAATTTATTGTTTCATAAGGGAAAGTTACATTGAGGTGTAATTCAAAGGTAGACATGTAACATGGGGTGCGTGCTTCGGCTCGGGTCTCTTGTCACCTGCCTCACTAAAAAATTTGATGCATGGGTAATATAATAGCTTTAAAAAAAAATAATTAAAAAAATAAAATAAAATAAAAAATAAAAAAAGGAAGAAGGATTATCGAGTACTCCATCACGGTATGTAAATAGGAAAGAATGTATTTAAGAGGGAGTAAGAGTGTGAAGGGGTTTGGATCTAGAAATTGATTGTGTTGGGGGCTGAAATGACCTAACTGTTGACAGCCCCTGGAGCTCAACCTCAGTGGCAGGATAGTTAAGTCAAGGTCTGCTTGGATTGCCGGCACCTGGGGTGTGTGATCCTCGAGGCCTGCCTGTAATTTATTGTAAATTACACAAAAGCTGGAATGCCGGAAGCTGCAAGAAGTGGTAGGTTAAATCTGCAATCAATATGCTAATGTATTTAAATTTATAGAATTTTGAGTCCATCTGTCAATCTGGTTGCTCATATTTTGCAGTTTACTTGTCAGTCCTTCAATAATTTCCCACTGACAAAGCTGCAGAGTCATCCGCAGATGTTGTACAATTTTGTTTTCTGTTGGTGGGAAAGTTATTTAATCTTCATCAACATTATAATTTTATATTGAATCACGTGTCATATTTGAATTTTCTTGAACAGATTCTTGTCCAACATTACACGATATCCCTGATCCATTTGAAGAGTTCCATTGCAATGGTATGTCCATTTAGTCTACAGTTCAATAAACACGAGTACAGCACAGATACAAGACACTACAATGCACTTTTACATAAAATCTTCCTTATAAATTAAATAAATAAACACTTGGCTAAATAAAAACCATTACTTTAGACTTAACACCCCAAGCTATTTTGATTAAATATACATACTATAAACCATATACTTATTACATTCCCCAACTATTAACACTATAGTACATGTAAATACAGTTATCAACTGAATATATCATATAGATATCACATTTTACACAAATTAAAATAATATTTAACATTACTTTCATAATGTGAACAATTATAAAACAATTCATTAAACCAAATGGATTGATATACACATCAGTTTAGACAAGTATTTAGAAACACTAAAAAATCCATAATCTAAACCATCTTATTTCATAAATAATACACCAGAACATAGATTCACACGAGTGTCAATCAGCATAATCACCTTCCTAAGTTCAACACAGTACTTACAGCAGGTAGACAAGATATTTTGAGTTTGATTTAAATTAAAATACTATTATTTTCTTTTAAGAGGCCAAATGAACAAACATAAGCGAAATTACTATGCATGGGAGGCGGCAGTTATAAACGAATCTTGCATATACATATATTATAGGCGTGTTACATTAAATGCTCTTTCTACAATCAAATTAAGACTAGATTGAACCAGTATCGCTTAATTTGGCAACCCCATGAGATAAATTACTATGCATATACGAGGCTTATGTTTATAAAAGAATTTTGCATATACAGACGATATATTGCTTATAGGCCACACAAAAATATCAGTAACTGCTGGGGCTTAAAATCTCAACTAAGGAGCCTTAATAAACTGAGAGGCAAAAAAAGGCCAATCTTAATAGTTTTAATTATCTCTTAGACAATCCTCCGTTTGTAAATAAATCTTTGAATAGTCAATCTCTTTTTTGCTGGTTTTTCTGTAAAGTTTCGTTATAACAGGCCAGCATGTAGTCCTGACTTAACTCTATTAAACACATTAGGGATGACTTGTCAAAGAGAATAAAAAGTTACCCAGTGATTCCAGAGAATTTGCAGGAATTAAGAATGGCGCTGTTGAAAGAGTATGAAAATATTCCACAGCACTACGTTCAAAACCGTCTAAAATTGGTGCCATGTCCAATGCAAGCAGTGATCTACGCAAGAGGAAGAAATACTCTATACTGAATTGAATATTTTCTTCATTAATTATTCAGAAATCGTGATATGCGGTCTGGTGTGATGTAGGTTTCAGAAAAAAAATTTCTTTATCGTGCTAACATTTCGATCTTTATTGAGATCATCTTCCGGGCCTTGTGTTGTCTGCATTTCAGCAAAAAAGTTCTCTGGTTGATAGCCAATGCGAGTTTCTTCTCATTGTTGGCGATGTAAGAGAGTACTTTTAGCTGCGTGTTCTTCTTCGTTCTTCTCATGTAGAAATGTGTGGTGATTAGTGACCGTTAATCGATAATTATTGGAACGATAAAGAAAATGTTTTTCTGAAACCTACATCACACCAGACCGCATCTCAAGATTTCTGAATAATTATCGATTAACAGTCACTAATCACCACACATTTTCTTCATTGTTTCCATATAGTTTTGGTAAAATTGTTTTCCTCAGTTTAATTTTTTTACTTATCTAGCTATATCTAATAATGATTGCAATATTTACTAAAAAAGAAAACTTTTTTGCCTCTTGAATTGTATAATACAAGGATAACTGCCAAAAAGAGTTAGTGGCCTAGAAAGTACCAGTAATGGAATAAAACATCTACAGATTTAAATATTAAGGAACATATATGATGCACAATAAATCAGAGGAAATAAAAAGAATTGTAATTTATTGAAGGCACTTCATCACAAGTGGCATAAGCCAACCTATTACTTCTCTCTTCTATCTGTATCAAACATGGTGAGTTTTAATTTACAAAGTTTAGTTTTCGGGTTGCCTTAGTTCACTGATATTGAAAAACAAAGTTTTCATCAAATTTGTAAAAATAAGATGTGTATCTGTTTCAAAAGGGATTTTCCACATTGTTTGGTTTGTATTTGTTTTGCCTTCTTTTGAGCAATATATTATAAAATGGTTTAATTTAAATCATATAAATTTTGTGCCTTTTGTCAACGGATAGCAATAATTATTTTAATTTTCGAACAACTTGAAGAGTTAAATTTTAAAAAATCCGAATTTGAAAACCATCTGGAGTTTAAGCTTTGCTAATGTTTTAGTAGTAGTGGAAGAAGAGCCTGTTGAGGAAAAAGATGAGGGAACTGAACCCCCCTTGATCCAAGCAGAAGAATTGGATGACACAGCCATTGAAAATCTAGAAGATTCTGAAGTTATGAGTGATATAGGAGATAAACAAAAGTATTACAATGATGATGAAAGAGGAGACGATGAAGGCGATGAGGGCGATCACATTGGAGAAGATTCTACCCAAACGGAAGACGAATTAAAAAAGAAAGGAAAAAAGAAAAAGCTGACTAACCAGTTCAATTTTAGTGACAGAGGTGCTCTAACTTACTCAGTTGTAGTAAGAGTAAGTTTTAATATTAAATTATTTCAACTTATAATTTATGCCTGTCCACATTATTGAAAATACTATTATTATTAATTAAGGATGGAAGTACACAGACAGTTCCACCCCCAACGGCAACAATGAGTGGTCAGGTTACACAATGGAGAATATTTGATTACTATCAAAAAGACTATGAGAATCTAATAGCCCAAAAAGAAAAAGATAGAATGGTTAAAACAGTCGTGGGAAAGAAAGATGAAGATGCAAGAAAAACGGTGACCCTTTCATCTGATGAATCATACAACTATAGGTTGTCGCAGGCGACAAAGATTATGGAACGGATGGTTAATCAAAATACGTTTGAAGAAATCGCCTTTGGTATGTAAAAATGCATACATTCAAAATCAGACAACTAAACCTAACTTAACCCATCCCTAACCCTACCTATCAGCACAATAGAAAAAAATTAAAGGGCTAAACGGAAAAATCCCTAAGACGATTGGTAATAGGAAAATTCTACCTAACCAAATCTAACCTAACCCATCCCCAACCCTTGCCTTAGCCCTATCCTTACCTACCCTGCCTCTATCCCTAACACTAACCATTCCTAACTTAAACTGTCCCTAACCAAACCTAACCTGTCAGCCCTAGCCTTAGCCCCATTCCTACCAATGTTTAGTTAAACACGTGCCTAACCTTATTTAACCTAAACCATCCCTAGAAAAAATTGTGTAACCAGCCCAAAATAATACTATGTTAAAATGTCAGCATGTCTCAGATTGTAATTAATCATAATTTCCAGATTGTCAGTTCTATGATGACCCTGCTGATAAATATAGGCAAAACGAAGGTGGAGTACTTCCACTCTGGGAATTCAAGCATGATGAATCCAAAGGATTGACTGTTACAGACCTTACATGGAATTCAAAATATTATGATATGTTTGGAGTATCTTTTGGCTCATGTATGAACGTTGTTATTGAATTGAATATAACATTTAATTCACCTGTTTTGTACTATTTCAAACTTAATTTTTCTTATAAATTCAGTTACGTATAAGAATAAATTGAAAAAAGGAGTAGTATGCGTGTACACTCTAAAAAATCCCGCATATCCAGAAAAAATCATCCGCTTTCGAAGTGGAGCAATGTGCATTGACTTTCATAATACAAGACCGTATTATCTTGCTATTGGGCTTTATGATGGTTCTTTATGTGTCTTCAATGTTAAAGAGGGAGATAATCATCCTCTTCTTTATAGCAATGTGTGGAAAAAACATTCAGGATCAGTTTGGGAAGTTAGTGAATTTAGTTTATATAAATATGTGTTTTTTGTATTTTTATTTTAAGGATTAATCTATTTTAGGTTCACTGGTGTGATGATCCTCGAGACACACAATTATGTTTTTATTCAGTAGGTTCAGATGGTAAAATTTGTAAATGGTTAGTACTTCCAAATGAATTGGCCCAAACGCCAGTCATCACTCTTTATTTGGACATAGAAAAAATTGATGGTCCTGATGGAATATCATTTTCTCTAACTGGTACAATAGCTTATAAAGCTTCTTAAGTTCAAAGATAGTTTATTTTTAAAATATTTTCTGTTTGTTTTATTAGCTTCACCTAAATGTGTAGCATTCGATCCTGAAAACTATGAGATATTCTTAGTCGGCACAGCTGAAGGAAATATTTATAAATGCAGTGTCTCATATGCATCATCATATTTGCATCTTTATTATGCCCATGACATGCCAGTCAACAGGATCAGTTACAACAATTATCTATGTGACATATTCGCTTCTTGTAGTGATGACTGGCGTGTTAAAATATGGGAAGATAAACGAAGGTACTTTCATCTCTCTTTTCCTAGTAAGACCTAAGAACAAGTTAGCTATGTATAATCTTTATATAATATTTTTCTTAAAATTGTAAAAGAAATTTTAATTTTTAAGAATGATCTTATTTTCTTTTTCAGTGAACCGCTTTTTGTTTTTGATCTAGAATGTGTTGTTGGTGATATACAGTGGGCACCATATTCCAGTACCGTTTTTGCTGCTGTTACATCCGATGGGAATATTCATATTTACGACCTTAATATTAACAAGCATGATGCAATATGTGTACAGACAATTTTTGCTTTTGAGCAGTCGATAGCTACTAGACTTCGTTTTAATAATAAAATACCAATTATCTTAGCAGGAGATAGCAAGTATGTTTGAATAATTTTGCCATAAATATACTTTAAACATTCCTGTAATTGTTAATTTTTACCACCTAACCACCTAACCTACCTACCTACCTACCCCTAACCATCCCTAACCACTATAAAATTAATACAACTTAATGTTTGGTATGTTTTCTTTTAATATGTATGATTTTTATGTTTTAATTTACAATTTCACTTAGTATAAGACAATATAACAAATAAATAAAGCATTGTTGTATTTATATAGTATTGTTTTCAAGGGTTCACTTGTATGATTTGTTTTATGATTTTCAATAAACTAGAGAAAAAAGTGTAAACAATCAGATCAATATATTATTTTTCTACTTCGTCTTCTTTTATCATTTACTTTGATTATTGATTAAAAATAAACAAATTGATTATTTGGAGAGCGTGAGATACGGTCTGGTATGATGTAGGTTTTAGAAAAACATTTTATTTTCATTTTAACGTTTCGATCTTTATTGAGATCATCTTCAGGGCTCAAAGTGTTTGTTTTCTGCGTAAGTGTCATTCTTGTCTGTCATGTTGAGAGTAGTACAACACAGAACAATGACACATCTGCACGGAAAACAAACACTTTGAGCCCTGAAGATGATCTCAATAAAGATCGAAACGTTGGTGCGATAAAGAAAATGTTTTTCTAAAACCTATGTCATATCAGACCGCATCTCATGATCTCCAAATAATCATTGACTAACGGTCACTAAAAATCACACTTTAAACAAAATATTTTTTTGTTTTTTTCAGAGGGCATGTCATATCTGTCAAAGTTTCACCAAACTGCCGCCTTCCAACAAAGGCCCCCAAAAAAATGGGCGCTATTGAACCAGGTCAATTAGAAGTGATGAAGCTCGAAAAGGTTTTAGCCTTTGTCAGAGAACCTGCTGTCAATGGGGATATTATCAACGAAGGAAATGAGCTAAGAGGGTCGAGGAAAGACATATAAAAATTTGAAAAGTACACATTGTTACACTTATAAATTAATTTGTTTTATAATTGAAATATTTTCATAAAATTTATTTGAATGAAAATTTTAGATCGTGTTTATCTTTTTATACCTTCTTGATCATGTATTGATTTTTTTATTTTTAATAAAATAATTGAAGTAACTCAAATAATTCTTTGATAGGTTTCGGGCTCTTTTGTTGCTCCTTGTCAACAAACTATATTATTACAAAACAATAAAATAGCATGAGATATTGTTTTGTAATAATATAGTTTGTTGAGAAGGAGCACCAGAAAACCCGAAACCGGTCCATTAATAAAAATGTCAAACACTCAGAGTTCATCAAGGATGTTATTTTAATAAACCTCATCAGACTACAATAAATGGCTGGAAAAATAAAAAATACAAACAAGTTTCATTATGTTTTCAGAATGAATATTCAGGAAAAAAAGTATTGGAAAAAGTATGAATTTTTATCGATTTTTGAGTCTCACCTTTTGGTTGAGGGGCTAATTGCATGTTAGCCAACGAAGGCTTCCAACGAGCTACACTTGATTTCATGTAGCAATCTCATCCAAATTGGTCAGAATATGTGGAAATCTCACCTCTCGGTTGAGGGGCGAATTGCGATGTAGCGAACATGTTTTGTAAAAAAAAAAATAATAATCTAGGCAATCATGTGTTTAATTGTTCTGTTAAACAGCAGGCATCTTTGCAATACAACTGCTCATATTATTTTCCATTCCACCAAAAGACACAGCCTTTGGCAGTATTTCCCTATCTTTAAAACTGTTTTTGCTTATTGACAAAGATTGTACTATAAATCAATATTGGTCGTGGTGGGGTAGTTATTAGTGACCGTTAATCAATAATTATTCCAAAATCGTGAGATGCGGTCTGGTGTGATGCAGGTTTCAGAAGAACATTTTCTTTATCGTGCTAACGTTTCGATCTTTATTGAGATCATCTTCAGGGCCTTGTGTTGTCTGCATTTCAGCAAAAAAGTTCTCTGGTTGATAGCCGATGCGAGTTTCTTCTCATTGCTGGCGATGTCCTTCAGAATACTTTTAGCTTCGTGTCCAAATGTAGTTGAAATTTGTTCATAGAATCCCATGCTCTTGGTTCTTCTCGTGTAGAAATGTGTAGAGATTAGTGACCGTTAATCAATAATTATTCCGAAATCGTGAGATGCGGTCTGGTGTGATGTAGGTTTCAGAAGAACATTTTCTTTATCGTGCCAATGTTTCGATCTTTATTGAGATCATCTTCAGGGCCTTGTGTTGTCTGCATTTCAGAAAAAAAGGTAGTGAAGAAGGTCATAAACAGGCTAACTTCTTTTTATCGTTAACAAACTGTTCTGATTTCTCCATGTTGTCTGCAGGGGATGAAGCTAAAATTTGGTCTTTAGTTTGCCTCCCCTTATTGGGATAAAAATACATTGTATGATTGAGTGTATTTATTAGTGTGAATATACTATGTGTAGGGGGTGATGGAGGAATGTCTAAAAATACATTACTTGACTAATGGTGAATACATAAGAAAGAATCTAAATATTATCTAATGTTTAGGTTAAATTAAATATATCAGGGGCTAAAATGACCAAGCTATCTATAGCCCTGAGCCTAACTTCAATACACAGGACTGTCACGTTCAAGGTCGGACCCTATACAACCAGAAATACTGGTAAAGGGTTGCTGAAGAAGTCTAATTGATTTACCATTGAGTTTTGCTTTATTCCAAAGGTATAGAAGATTCAATAAGTTTCAGGGAAGTTTAGAAATATAATTTTGAATTCTAAGCATTTGTAAATTGTAAATTCAGGCATGACGAAGGCTTAAAAATTTTAATCTTAAATCATGATGAATCACCAGTGTGCCTTATTTAATTAGATTGTGCAGCTGATTAAAAAGAAATCTGATAACTTACAATGGAAAAATTTTGATTAATCATAATAAAAGAAATCAGTTGTTTAGATTTCACAAGATTTTGGAGACATCAAGGGGAAACTGTAATGAACAAGACGGACCTACAATAACTGCACTGTACCTTGTTTCGATCCATGTATTGTGCCAATCACTTTAATGATGAAAAAGTTTCAGATTTTGTTTGTAGTCATTGCATTATGTAAGTTGAAATATTTTTTCAAAAAGTGCAACTCTCTATTAACGTTTTGCTTTTGATTCACAGCCATATACTTCTTAGTACTTATCTTCCAGTCGGCTGAATACAAAATCAAACAAATCGATAATGTAAGTTAAAATTACACACAAAAATTAAAATATAAAAAAAGACAAAATTTAGTTGAACTGTGAACATGGAATTAATAAAACCATACTTTAATGCAATTTTTGCAAATTCACAATGAACTGTTACAAAAACTCATAATGTGTGTCACACAGAAAACATCTATGTCCACATATTATTGCTGTATTTTTTGTTAGAGGTAAAACACATCTTTTCGCAATCTGGAAGATCAAAAACTGCCCATGACTAATTAAAACCAATTTTCATTATACATACTTCATAATTTCATGTCCCTATAATTATGTTACAACCAATTTATAATATGGGGGAAAATTATAAAAATATATTTCAATTGTGGTTTAATTAAAATTACCAAATTAAAGAAGGAATGAAAGTTGAATGGATGAACTGTTGTCAAAGAAATGCACATTTAAACAAAATTTTGCAGATAAGAAATGTAAAAGGTTAATAGGATTGCTGATTTATACAAGTTCAAATATGCACATGCACATACACAGTATACCGAGTTGAGATTTTGAATCACCCACTCCAGATGTGGGCAGTCCAGGATCAGACCTCATTCTTATCCGTCCATACGCAAGGTTGGCCTCCAGAGGCTATCAACAGCTTGGTCATTTCAGCCCCCAATGTCTCCCATTCACGCACTCACTCAGACTTAAATACATTCTTTCCTAGAGAGCTGAAGTACTCGATATTCCTCTATCCCCTTAACACTTATTATATAACTAACCTAACTGAGTATGGGGTACCCAATATTCTGCCATCACTACACATTCACGTTAATAAATATATTCCTTTTCAACACAACTAGGGACACAAAACTATCATCACTATACTATATTCAATAAAACAACCCTTCCAAGAACCAGAACAGAGTATCCAAATACTCAGTGCCATGCTCAAGCACAATTCTCATACCACTCTTTATAGCCAAGGAGCCAAGGAATAGCACACTTCAATTAAGTGGGACACATTCAGGAACCTTTCTCAACATGCTGGACACATGTGCGGAAAATGTTAAGAGTCAATCTCTTTACGACCTAATGCATCATCATTGTCTAGAACTCTTCATTAAGCTTAACTTTTTACCAAATCACAAAGCTTTGCTCAAGGTTTTTTTTATATCTTTTTAGTTATTATATTTCGTAGACAAAAAACGCAATTTCATAAAAATATTTATTATTTTACATGGACCGATTTTTTTTCCTTGATGCATTTTTCGCATGCCCTGGAGTACCTTCCCATTGAACCAAAGACTTAACCCATTGTCTGATAGATCTATTTTTAGCAATTTTGTTTGCTGTATAAGGTTTTAGTGCCAATAGGTGTCCTGAGTGAATTTTTCTTAGATAATTATTCAGAAATCGTGAGATGCAGCCTGGTGTGATGGAGGTTTCAGAAAAACATTTTCTTTATCGTGCCAACGTTTCGATCTTTATTGAGATCATCTTCAGGGCCTGGGATTTACAAACATTGTTTACATTTAACAAATACATCAACTCATCACAAAGAAGCCGACGCCTTATACAAAAATGTTTTTTTTCTATACCGACTTCCTTTCCCACCCGTTCAAAATCCAACGTATATAAACATAAAACAGCAAAATCTCACTGGCACTCTCAACACGACACGCAAGAATGGCACCATTACACAGAATACAAACAGTTTGAGTGAGTAGAAATACTTTGATTGAATATAAAAAATATATTTTGCATTGTATAAATTCACTTTTCCACATCCTAAATGTATTTGTTAAATGTAAACAATGTTTGTAAATCCCAGGCCCTGAAGATGATCTCAATAAAGACCGAAACGTTGGCACGATAAAGAAAATGTCTTTCTGAAACCTACATCACACCAGACCGCATCTCACGATTTCTGAATGATTATCGATTAACGGTCACTAATCACCACACTTTTCTTAGATAATTCATCAGTCTCCTCATTGCCTCTCTCCTCTGTACACCCTGGTACCCTAACAAAAGTAATTTTATTTTCCACAGTTTGACTGGGCCTTGATGCAACCAGCATTAAGTTACCCTTAGACCAAGTAGACGGACTACTTTTGTTGGTAATACCCAGCCTTTTTTTTTCTTCTCGCACAGTTTCTGCCTAAAATACAGTTGCATATTGCCCACAGCTCATAAGAATTTTAGTCCTACGGTTTATCCATAGATACCTGACACACCCTCTGTATTAAAGCCATCGGTATATCAAATATAGCCTACATTAATTGGTCTTTTTTTAGGTAATGGACCTTAAATTTGATTGTTTTAGTCATCCGAGTATGCCTATCACCGATGCTTTGATCTTTCAGATGTATTTTTGTATTTCAAAATGTTCAGAAATGATAAAACTACATTTAAAAAGAAATCAATACAATTTTAAATCTGATTAAATGAAACATTTTTGTTCATCCTTTTTGAGTCAATTTGGAGCTATTAAAAAAATGTTTGTCTTGATGTTACAGACTAGTTCTAAAAATTTTCAGAGAACACTTAATATTAACTCCAATGATACGGACATTTGCAAAATTCCAAAATACAGTCCATTTAATTCAGAAGCAAGAAAGTTTTACAAAAAAATGCCTGATATAACGTAAGTATTTTCAATTTTGATTTTATTTGTGTTCGAAATTTTGCTAAATTTTTTTTCAGCTGTTCTCATCACAGTTATAATCTTTTGTATATTGACAACGAGGGAAATTTGTCGTTTAATAATATAAATTGGAAAAAGCTCAATGTGACTCCTGGGTCTTCTTCTGTCACGTGTGAATACAGTGAAATTTATAGGAGAAAATACAGTGGTACGATTATTGAATTTGAAATGCAGCCATTTGTGAAAATGTACAGCAAAGTGAAACCAAGTTCAGATTTTCTCTTTGCTAAATGCTCAAATTATGCAGGCTCAGTGATATATGCTGATTATTTTGCTTTTACTCAAAGGAATCCTGGCCCAAGGAATTATAAGGTAATTTTAATTTAAACTTTTTTTAAATTTATACTAATTATTTTCACTAGTTCATGAAAAAATAGTTACAATTGTGTGTTTTTTTTTTTATGGCATTGTTATAGAACGACCAAGAGGTGGGTCTTATTATAATCGGATTAGATTCTATGTCAAGGTTGAACTTTTTAAGGCAGTTTCCTAGAACGTACCGTTTTATGAGAAACTATCTATTAACAGTGGAGATGAAAGGGGTAAATAAAGTTGGAGTGAACACGTTTCCAAATGTGATGGCGATGTTGACTGGTCTTCCTGTTCCTCCACCTCCACATAATTTCAAGGTATTTATTGCAGTAAGGGAACTTGAAATTTGACACAATTATCGTGAAATTTATTTGTACAGAACATGCAATTCCTCTGGGATGGGTTTCAAGAAAGAGGAGCGGCGACAATGTATGCCGAAGACATGCCGCAAATTAACATGTTTAACTTACACGGAGATGGCCTCTTAAGAAAGCCAACGCACCACTATGCCTACACTTTTTGGCAAGCTGTCGAGTATTCACTGACCCAGCATTACAGTTCAAAGTACTGTCTCGGATCAAAAACAAAGTTCTCTATTCACTTGAACTATATCAAGTCTTTTCTTCAAACTTACAAGGATTGCCCGAAATTTCTTTTCTCGCTTCATAACGAGTTAACGCACGACACCCTCAACTTAGCAAGTGTAAGTATAAAACATGATTTCACAATATACCTCAACAAAGTATTGAATTTTTTTTATCCACCAATACAAGATAAGGTTTTGACTTTAAAATATGAGCATTTGTAGGCCACTCAAAAAGTCCTAAATGAGGAAAAAAGTCATGATAAAAATATTCTTAATTACAATTAATTAAGGTTTTTAGTTGAGATAAAAAAGTCAATAGCATGAGCGGGATTCGAACCCACGATCTTCGGCTTGATACGCCGCTGCTCTACCACTTGAGCTTGAACTTGAAAAATGGCAAAAAGGAGGGAAATTTCAAAAGGTGCGATTGAGATGGGAAGTTGATGTCTGAGTGGATCGAGGTCACGATAGCTCAAGTGGTAGAACAGCGGCGTATCAAGCCGAAGATCGTGGGTTCGAATCCCGCTTGTGCCATTGACTTTTTTATCTCAACTAAAAACCTTAATTAATTGTAATATATCAATTGGTCAAGCGGACCACGAAATTAGTGAATTTAATATTCTTAATGTGAAAAATGATCATTTTGTCTGTAGACTTGTACAATTTTACAAAATTATTTTTTATTACCTATTGGATCTCAACATAATTATTAGCAGAAAAATATTCTTTCTGTTGCTGTTGTTAATGCAAACACCTAATGCCACTTGCTCTAATCCAAATAAAAAACAACAATTTGACTTAATTACAATTCTGGAGTAAGGATGTAATTCGGTCATTTTTAATCATTTAACTGCCTAATTTCAGTGTTGGTGTGTCATATGTATTTTTGCATTTCACCATCTTCAGTGTGTCTCAAGGTGCCAATAAACCAAAATAACACCAACACACACACTCGACCCATGACGATCTTATAAAAGTGTCTAAACTCCTTGTAAATTTAGTGTAATATCTTTAAGCCAAGTCTCTTTTATATAGCCATTATGAGTAATTGCCTTACTCTCATTAAAGATGGTGTGATTACTGCTGTGCCTTCAGGTGTTTGATCTGGGTCTAGCCACACAGGTCTAATATTACCAGAACAAGTTTCTCAAACTTATGACAGACTCCCTTCTATTATCAAAACTGCACAATTTGACAAACATGCCGGCAGTGCTAAAATATATCAGGTTTAACTTTGTTTCAAGCAATGCAAGACTGATTATTGCTAACAAAATAATAGCCATCTACACTGAATAAAGGCAACTACCTCAACCCTAGTCCAGAGCTGTTTGGGATTGCAAGGCCTTGTTTGTGAACTTGGGCTCACTGGGCAGCGGGGGGCAACAAGGAGGCTGATGAATTAGCCAAGAAAATCGGATGGGGACCTATTAGCCCTGAACTTTTTTTGACAGAAAAAATCTCCAAAAATGTAGATCCTTCAGTCAATGGTTAGGAATAAGACCTCCGTTCAATGGGTATTCTAGAATATAGGCATGGTGAGGGCATGTATCGATCGGCCCAGAACCTTTTGCAGCATTCAAAATTGACAAACATGTAGATCCATCAGACAATAGGTTAAGAATAAGACCTCAGTTCAATGGGTATTCCAAAGAGAAAAGACAAAGGTCGTGGGTTCGAATCCCGCTCTTGACACTAGCTTTTTCATATCAACCAAGACCTTAGATCAAAAGGTTAATTAATTGAAATGTTTTTTTTAGAGCTTATAGTTTATAGAGCAAGACATTTGCAAGGATGTTTTGTTCACAAATTTTGTGCATAACCATTTTTGAGTAACTGGGAAGTGTACATGGGTTTGAATTATGTTACGATAGAAATGGTTAGTTAAATGGGATGGTTAATCAGTGAGGTCACATTAGGTAGGATTAGGGTTAGTGTTAGGGTAGGTTAGGTATTAGATTGGGGTTTGGTTAGAGACCGGTTAGGCTAGGATGGGTAGGATTGGGTTAGGGATGGGTTAGGGTTAGGAACAGGTTATGATTATTCGGAAATCGTGAGATGCGGTCTGGTGTAACGTAGGTTTCAGAAAAACATTTTCTTTATCGTGCCAACATTTCGATCTTTATTGAGATCATCTTCAGGGTCTTCTCATTGTTGGCGATGTCCTTCAGAATACTTTTTTGCTTTGTGTCCATATGTAGTTGAAATTTGTTCATAGAATCCCATGTTCTTTGTTCTTCTTGTGTAGAAATGTGTGGTGATTAATGACCGTTAGTCGATGATTATTCGGAAATCGTGATATGCAGTCTGGTGTGAAGTAGGTTTCAGAAAAACATTTTCTTTATCGTGCCAACGTTTCGATCTTTATTGAGATCATCTTTGTTCTCAATAAAGATCGAAACATTGGCACGATAAAGAAAATGTTTTTCTGAAACCTACGTCACACCAGACTGCCTCTCACGATTTCCGAATAATCATAAACTAACGATCACTAATCAGAACAGGTTATGTTAGATTGAGGTTTGGTTTGGGAAAGGTTAGGTTAGGTTAGGTTGGATAGGATTGGGTTAGAGATGGATTAGGTTAGATAGGATTAGGGTTAGGAACAGGTTATGGCTAGGCACAATTAAATTTATTGCTAGGGATGGGATAGATTTAGTTTTAGATGGTTAAGGATTAAGGCTTTTTGTAAATAATGGATCTACTCACAGAATTTGTGGTTTACAACTGCTGTAAACCACAAATTGTGTGAGTAGTACCATTATTAGGAAAAGTGAATCTACAAATTCACCCCACTTTTATTATTTCTACTAGGACTAGGGGTATTGTTAGGGACAGGTTAAGTTAGGTAAGATTAGTGTTAGGGGCGAGTTAGGGTTAGGTATGTTAGGTTGAGAGTACTACACCTGGGAGAGAAAAAGCCTGAGCCTAAAGGATGCAGACAGGATTCCTTACAAAAGGTTTGGGATCTGATAAAAAGTTCACCAAACGGCCATAGCAGAACTACTGAATCTAGGACGTTAGAGCTAGAATAACAGACTGCTAACTGGACACTGCAGACTTCGGAGGAATATGTATAGACTCGGTGAGGCAAAAACAAGCCTGTGCACATATTGTCTGGAAGAAGAAGAGACAGCGGAACATGTCCTTTGTTAGTATGACAGCTTATGTAGACTATGATTCCTACTCCTGAGAGAGAGAAAAAATCAAAGGCCTGAATTATATGCGAGATCTAAACAAACCGTGGATTCTGATAAAAAAACCTTAAGCTTAACAAAGATCTAGATAAAAATGGGGATTGCACAATAGACCAATATTGGTTATTGTGCATAAGGTAGTAGTAAATAGGCTGACTTCTTTTAACCTTAACCTTAGCTAATTATTCAGAAATCGTGAGATTTTTGTGGTGGTCACCAGACCGCATCTCATGATTCCTGAATAATTATCAATTAACGATCACTAATCACCATGCACTTAACCTCAGCAATGCATAGTATTTAGTGACTGTTAATTAATAATTATTTAGAGATCGTGGGATGAGGTCTGGTGTGATGTAGGTTTAGAAAAATATTTTCTTTGTAGTGCCAACATTTCGATCTTTATTGAGATCATCTTCAGGGCCTGGGATTTACAAACATTGTTTAAATTATATAAATACATGTTAGATGTGAAAATGACACAGTGATGGACACAACATAGAAATTTTTGGTTTAATCAAAGTATTTGTACTCACTTAACCTTAGCAATTAATCTATCCTAATTTTGGTTGCAATTTGTATTGCATTATTGATACGATTATAGAAAAATAAAAACTAGGCTTATCAAATAATTTAGTTCGATAAGACCAACTCGTAAGGGTTTAAAGGATAATTGTTTTGTTTTAGAATGCTGATGATGAGCTAAAAGACTTCCTGAAGACATCATATGATGCTGGCCTCTTAGACAGATCAATTGTTGTTTTACTGGGGGATCATGGACATCGGATTGACTCTTACAGAATGACAGAAATGGGCAGAATGGAGGACTTGATGCCTTTCACATTTTTTATTCTCCCGAGAAACTATAGGAACACGGATTGGTACAAAACACTTACTGTCAATAGCAACCGTTTGGTATCGACATATGATTTATATAAAACATTTGAAAACATTATGTTTACACTGGAAAAAAACGTTTCGACATATGAGGGTTCCTCATTTAGAAAAAGTTCTTCGCTCTTCTACCCTGTGTCTGCGCGTCGATCCTGCTATTCTGCAGGGATCCCAGAACAGTATTGCATTTGTTCTAATTCATACGAGATGATGTCTGCTTTCGAAACCTCAAACCCTCTTTCCATGCATGCAGTGAAGTACGCCCTTCTTGAAATGAACTTACAGATAAAGCAAGCAACTGATCTATGCGCCGAGCTGTTCATCGATTCAATTATTAAATCAACGCACATTTTCAACAAAGCGAGATTCCGACTTTTAGTTTTATTCAGCACAAAACCGAGCAGAGGGATATTTGAGGCGACAGTAGATTTCTCAACCGATGACGTTCAGCTGGTTGGAGATGTTCTTAGGATAAACAGATACCACGGAGAATCAGACTGCTTACCACATGATTTGCAAATAATTGAGTTTTTCAAAACAACTTGTTACTGTATGACAGGTAGGGGAACGAATGTTGTAAATTAGTAATACAAGTTCAAAACAAAATATGTATTAATCCTATATTTAAAGCATTAAAAATCTCATCTAATACTAACAACTAGCTACAATCATTTGAAACACGTTCCATATTTTGTGGAGATATGTATGACTTAAAAGGAAACTATTCATCACTACGATATATCTCAGAAAAATAATTATTTACAAATTCTGTAAACTAGTAATCTCGATATCAATTTCAATTTATAGTAGAAATTATCGTATGAGGTTTCGAATTTTTTAAAAATTTGATTTTAAAAAATTAAGAACAATTTGTGGTATAAAGAATATGTGATATAAAAATCAATGTTTTTCATGCTGTAAATGTTATTTGTATTAAATAAAATCCAATTAAATATATTTCAATCTGTCACCTTCAAATAAAGTAATCCCACTATTAAAAAGTTACATTTTCCTTCAGAGACTACATATTTTCTATGAAAATGTAAAATATTTCTTTGCGAAAACACACTATTCCTTAGATGGATTATAATATTTGTAATACATTTTTTTGTGTGAGTGTGTGCGTCTATTTTCAAATTTCAAGATACAATTTAAAAATAATTTAAATTATATGGAAGTAAATATATCAATTTTTTTTCTTTGTTTTAAGGATGGTACACTAATTATTATTATAAAGTTGAGAAAAGAAAAATCATTTTGAAACCTAGAATTGTGTAAAATTTAAATTGTATAATTATGCTGATTATATTATTAAATAAAACAATTTTCAAAGCATTATCATAATTTTAATTAATTATACTTTTTATCTAAGGTTTTAGTTGAGACAAAAATGCGTGTCACAAGCGGGATTCGAACCCACGACCTTCAACTCAATACTCCACTGCTCTAACCGCTTGAGCTATCGTGACTTCGAACTACTCGGACACAACTCCTCATCTCAGCCTACAACCTTTCTTATTTTCCCTCTTTTTGCCATATTTTTATCATAATGTTAAATATTGTGAGTAAAGCAGTACACATAATTTTTCCTCGTGGCGAGTGAGATTAATTAAAATAATTCACTTGTATTGTTCTAATTATAATATATATTTGAAGGGTTGCCAGTAAACAGAACAGACTTAAATAAAACTATTGTAATTCTTCAAGTATGAAGGGCACACAAATACAATCCTAATGAATACAAATTGCAAAACCAAATTACACTCGAATATCGAAAAAATTCTTTATACAGTGTTTTGTAGAATTTGGATCTCAATCTATGTAGTATTAAAAAATATCCAACATATAATTAATTTACAAGTCGATAGTCTAAAAAATTTTAAAAGATGAAAGCTTTTCGATAAGAAAGTTTGGACACAAATATATATACAGGAGTGTTACGCCATGCAAAACCATAATGTAAAATTAAAAAATTTCACTATTTTTACATTATTAACAATCACAAATATAAATATAATTCACAAAACTAAATTATAAGACACAAGGTCTTGCTAAAAATATAATGTACAAATAATATAAGGCAGCGGTCTCACTAGATGTGCATTTGAGACATTATTTTAAATTATAAATAATTTCATTTTCAAAAGAAACAAAAAAATCGTCAATTTGTTGATCGACCGTGAATTAAATGACTCGATCTGATCACACAAAAAATTGTTTTGTATGTACAACCTTAAAATTAAAATACCTTCAAGAAAATTTATATTTTTCTCGTTAATGTTAAAATCCATGCCTAGTGGGACCTGAATGATTTTGCACTATGTAAATTTTTTCAGTGTCGTTTAGAAAAATAAAAGCGACTGCCAGGTGTTGATTGTAAACAAGACCAAGAAATCTTATCACTAAACAACCATTAATTTCTACCTCTAAATTAGTGAAACCCTCTAACTGTATTCAAAACTATTGCTTAAATGGGTATGAGCCTAAATAAATCGTACTTCTATTTATCACAGAGGCGACTACGCCTTATGGGGAATTTCATACACACAAAATACCAAAGAGCTACATTTTTCATCTCTTACTATCAAGCACCTGGCTTTATAAATATTTCATTTTACTCAATTATTTTAAAAAAATTAATTATAAGGAACAGTGAAATATAATAATGTAAAATACAATAAACAAAATATGTCTTGTTATCATTACGTTTACATTTTTTAAATATCCATACAATTTGCTCTAACCGGCTTAAGCTATTTATAATTAATTACAATACATCACAAGTGTGTGTAAAAATACACAATATTCAACGAATTGAATTAGCAAATAAAATTATAATTGAGCTCATGTTTTAATACTTCAGGCAAAAATATCCCACAGATAGACAAAATTAAAAATAATAAAATAAAAACAGAAAAGTGGATAACAATAATAACAGTGGGACGTGACTTAAATTTAAGGCAATAGTAACTTACTAATTAAGTTTCATTCCCTATAGATTTTATTTTTGAGTTCATAGCTTTTCTTAATTTCATTTAATAAATTAACAATTTGCAAATTGAACAATCTATCGTAACACTTTAATTTCAAAGATTTATTCGATGACACTGCATTTTCATCTCTAAATTATGAATAAGTAGTGATCACTGTCTATAACCATGGACACTTAAAACATTGTTACCAGGAGTAACATAATCTCCAATCATTAAGCTGTTGTTCACGGGGAAGTGTGACGCCTGACCTATCACAAGTTGACTTGCCTGTAAAAAAATAAAAAACCATTAATTTAAATACATAAACTAAATAAAACCTTAATCGAATAAATGACTTTAAATATGTTCAATGTTCGGAGAAGTTTTGGCTGACCTGCAACCAGGCCGTATAATACATTAAAAAAAAATAATTTAAAAAAATTGCCCTAAAATTGAAATTCCAGCTAACATTGAACGTTTTAACCAATGTTTCACACAGAAATAGACTTTTTTTTAATGGCGGTTCGCAACAGCAGATATCAATTCCTGGGGTGCCATTGCTTTTGGAGAGGAGAGGAGAGGGAGGAGAGGGAGGAGAGAGAGAGAGAGAGAGAGAGAGAGAGAGAGAGAGAGAGAGAGAGAGAAAAGCTCATTTTTAATATTTTGGGTTCAAACACAGGGGCAGTGGATTCCAACCCAGAACCTTTACTTTTCAGTGGTGAACACCGTGTCATTGCCCAAAATGTTGCGGCCACCGACACCACGAGCAATACTGAATCCTATATTTATCAAAGAAAGGATCAGTTGCGGATTAAATAGTGTACTTGTATTTAATACTTTATAATTTTTTATATACACTTAACTCTTTTAATAAATAAAATGAGCCTCAAGTGCACTTGAAGTGTGATGCTAAAATTATTAGAATTTTATCATAAGAATTAATACCGTTAGAATCAAAAACTTGTGAAAAAAAAGAAATTGTTTTAGCTCAAAGAAATGGAAATTGCTCGATTTACTATTGTAAAGTTAAGACGTTTGCCTTTTTCTTGGATTGAGAGGCACAAACGTTTATGATTTATGAAACCCATGGCCTAATAATGATGCAACTCGATGAGTATAAAAATAAAGATGCAAGAGAAAATGCAGTGAGCTCTACAAAAAATTGAAATTGCCCCACTTCCTATTGCTGATTTTAAGAACAAAACTAAGGTTGCTAGGACAATGTTTTAGAAAGAACATTTAATTCAACAAAAATTAATTAATTTTTATTGAACCCGATGAATGAAAGCTGATTCGAGTCTCATTCAGTTCGATAAGGACACCTAGCGGCCTGAACTCTTTTGTGACATACTGAATTTCCAAAATGCATATCCATCAGTCAATGAAAAGTCCTCGATCAGTGGGATTGTATTCAAGGACAGAGAACAAGTTCATCCAAAGACCATAGCAGAATTTAACGACAGAACTAACTAAACCTAAGAGTTAGGACTAGAACTGCAGATATTGCCAGGAAGAAAAGACAGCAGGACGTCTGCTGATGTGAAAGCCTATGCAGGCTGATATTCTTACTTCTGGGAGAGGAAAACCCAAAGCCTGAAGCATGGAGGAGCCATTAACTAAGCTTTGGGATCTGATACAAAGCTTAAAGAAGAGGCTCTAAATAGTAATAGAGATTAGAACAATAGACCAATATTGGTTGAGGTGTGAAAGTTCCTTTTAACCTCTGGTCATAGGCGAATTATAGAAAAACTGCTGATTGTAAAGCTTAAATTAAGATTAAGACGGTTACTATTAAGATGTAAAAAACTAATATGAGCTTGAATTTCAACAATTAATTTTTAACATCCCTTCAACTTAATAGAAATATTCTGTGAGTTCCTTCAACTTGTGTTTTAATCTCTGAAGAGCAAGAGCGAAATGCTTCGTAATTTTTCATCTCTTTAAGACATAAATATGACACTTGCTCTAAGTTGAGTAAGGTGCAGAGGATAATAAATATTGTGCTGACCCACAGGAAGTTAGCCAGGTTAGTTATTTACAAGTCCAAGGCTTAAAAGTCATTGTATAAAGCACATTTCACTACTTTTACTAGTACAGTCCATGCTTATGTGGTTAAAAGAAAATCGAAACCAGTAAATATTATTTTATGATTTACCAAATATTAGCTTAAACTTGGATTTCAACTGCACATCTGCTATTGTTTATCATTTTTTCACATTTGACAGGATCTTTATTTACTTATGTAAATACTTAATCTTAGTATATATCACTGAAAATAACCTCAGTGGTTATTGTGAGGTCGTTTGTTTATAAAATTGTAAGCATCAGCGGTTGGTTTGAAAATGACAAAATGCCAAAACTCTCAAAGGACAAAGCCAGTCTTATTTAGTATGATCAATCTACATTTAAAAATTTAAAGAATTAAAATACTCTATTCTAATATTTACTATTTTGTTCTTTGCAAACTTTCAAAACAAGATTAAAACTATTAATGCATGATTTCAAATACAATTTTATCAAACATTTATTTAGTTTAGTTTATAGAGCAGTCTTTTTATTTCTGGGATTGGTTCACAAATTTGTTTGCATGCCCATTTTTGTGCATTTTAAGTGCCCATAGGTTGAGTCAGTTAAACTAGGAATGGTTAGGACAGGAAAAGTTAGGTTTGTTTCAGGGACTAGTTGTTAGGATAGGTAGGACTAGTGTTAGGGACAGAGGCAGGTTCTGTTAGGTGAGGTAGAATTAGAGTTAGTGATTATTTGGAAATCGTGGAATGCAGTCTTGTATGACGTAGGTTTTAGAAAAACATTTTCTATATCATGCCAACGTTTCGATCTTTATTGAGATCATCTTCAGGGCTCAGTGTTTGTTTTCCGTTGCCAGTAAGATATATATGAATATACATGAATATCTCCCAACAGGACACACAAGAATGACACATCTACATGGAAAACAAAGATGTTGAGCCCTGAAGATGATCTCAATAAAGATCGAAATGTTGGCACGATAAATAAAATGCTTTTCTAAAACCTACATCACACCAGACCACATTTCACGATTTCCAAATAATCATTAACAGACTGTCACTAAACACCACACATTAGTGTTAGTATTAGGGGACAGTTAGGTTAAATTAGGTGTTACGAATAGATAGGATTGGGGTTAGTGTTAAGGACAGGTTTGGTTAGATAGAATTAATGCTGATGTTAGAGATGGGTTAGGTTAGATAGGATTAGGGTTAGGGAGAGACAGGTTATGTTAGGTGAGGTAGAATTAGGGTTAGTGCCAGTTAGGTTAGATTTGGATTAGGGTTAGAGATGGGTTAGATTGGTAGGATTATGATCAGTACTAAGGATGGGTTAGGTTAAGCTAGTGTTAGGGAGATATTAGGTCATGTAAGGTTAGTGTTAGGGACGTTTTTATGCAAATGCATGTTTTTTTCTGTGAATTCTCGTCTGTAATCAAACCTTTGACATCTAATCATTCTAGAAAAGATCCAGTTTGTCTTCTATAGCAAAATTTATATATAATTTCTTTTAACAAACTTACCTTTGTTCTTCATATTGAAGACATAAAAAACTTCATAATAAACTAAGTTTGTGTATAAAAGATGACAAAATTCTAAAATCTGTTATCACCTGGTCATAAACTTACCTGGCTTTTGGGATTTGTAATTTGGTCATCGCCAATAATTTTATTCTGCCTGTCCTTGCTGTGTTGGTCTGTCAGAACCGTCTTGGCATTTTACATGGCATATTCAGCTCTGAGGCTATCAAACGCACAGCAAAATCAGAAACGACCAAAATACAAATATTAATTAACCCACCCCTTGAGGAATTCTGATAAATTTTTGGAACCTAGAAAATGGGTTGAGAAAAGAAAAAATCAAGACTCAACAGTGAAAAATGTCCAAATGGAGAAGTTCATCTGACAGACCAACCCAGTGAGGACAAGCAGAGTAGGTTCCCATACCAAAATTTGGGGATTTGGTACATTGATACAAATAACAGTGCCTTACAAATACAGCAGAATTTCAACTATAATCTTCTACTAGACAACAATTAGTATCTTCTAGCTTTAAGAGCTTTAAACAAATAAGAGAAAATACTCAATATTTCCTTTCTTCTCCCTGTTTTCATTACCTGCATTTAAAAATTATATTTTTATCTAACTTTTGTCTTCACTTATTATAAACATTCATTTGCCACAGAGTGTCCTGGATATATCCGTAATCATTGTTTTAGAGGTGGGCAAAAAGTATTTATAGATCGTTGAAAAAAACGTATTCAAAATAAACAAAATCCAGTTTTTATCTAAACGAATTTAAACTGAATTAATAAATTACAAATTAAACTTTATCCTGTGTATAAAATAAAAAAATAATAAAAAATTAAATTTAGTTTCTGAAAAACTGTCATTTTATATAATATAGAAGTAATTTTCACTACTCTCAAAGGGAGAGCATGGAATTTCAATCCAACATTTTTTGGTGATGCTAGGTTGAAAAATATTAGGACCGTGTCTGAATGTTCTCTTTCAAAAGCCCTAGAAGCTAAGATAAATGTTTTAAATTTTTTATTTATTTATTTATTTTTTTATGGTTTTTGATTGTTTCGAATTTAATCGCCGTTTTTTTTTTTTTTTTTTCAAATAGGTTAAAATATTTTGATTAAGAAACAGAGTTTATATTTCTATTATACACCCCAAAATACCCTGAATAAAACTTATTGGGAAAATCAAAAAATATTTTTTTCTCTCAAATTTTTCATTATCCAAATGAATGCCTGATTTTTTTTTAATCACAAAAATGGTGATAATTTTTGCATGACCGCAAATCTACTTGAAATAGAACTCGACAAGTAATTTGGTCTCCATAAATAAAATATAATCAGAACTATAAAATAAAACATATGGGAGGGTTTTTTTTAAATTTCATCTTTATTTTTCTTAGTGATAATGATATAAAATCGAAACCTTGTTGGCATAGACTGAAAGAATATAAATTAGGCTTTGCAGTGGTTGTAATAATGTTGCATTTGGATAAAATCCAGAAGATTTATGAATTTTTAAGCCCAACACCAAACAAGAGACTAAAAATGACCAAGTTCCAATCAAAAAATGTTTATTTTTATTTCTATGAAAATTCATATTTAAGTGTTTCAAAAAGTGTATAAAACGAGTGGAATTTTTATGCCTAGTTTGCTGATAGCGTAGTTTCGGTATGTAACTTTTTTATATCTATTCTCATTTAATACAATCATGTTTATTGTTTTCTTATCGTCCGATA